CCCACTAACTTTTAGTACTGCCCTAGGTTAGGCCACAAAGCAGAAGGATCCCATCCATCTGCCAGAGGACCAAAAGCTATTGAGAAGCGCACAAATACATACAAAACACATTTGCCATTCAGAAAAAAATATCAAGGTGAGGGGAAAATCAACCCAGCTAAGAAGAAACAGTTGTAAAAAGTTTGCTTCTCATTACTGTAATGCAAAGAGGAGAACCCCCCCCCCAACTATTAATTGCCCTAGAAATGCAGAACAGAGAGCACCAATTTTCTGCGAGGGAATTAAAAGTGCTCAGCTATATGGGTTTGATGTTTCTTTCATTATAACCTATTAAACCACTTTGATATATCAAATGCCATTATTCCTAACTAACTTTAGAAGAGGCTCGTCCATTTCTCTCTCAATGACTATAGTAAGCATATGGTGATAGCTTCTCAAGATGACCAGGACAACTTTGTGTTATTAATTTTGGGAGGAACAACAGAGTATACTTTCATTGAAAAACTCCTAAAGAGAAAGACAGAATGAACTATGATTCAAGATACAAACCAAACTTCCTTTTTTGTTTCATTATTAAATACCGGGGGGGGGGTGAGTTTCTCTGGTCCCAGAGGAGAGAACACAGTTCAAGTGAAAGGTCTGCCATTATCACAGCAGCAATGCCATCTGGTGGTCCAATTCTAAACTGAATCCAATATGAACCACTGCATCTATGGGAAAAGCAGGACCTGAAAGGCCAGCACAAATTGTGGAGCCCCTTTCCCATCTCTTTTAGGAAGTCATGATTCATACCCTTGCTTCTATTAAGCTTTCTGAAAAATGCTTTTGAGAAGAGGTAATACACATCTGTTAGCAAATCACTTGCAGGCACGCCTCAAGAGAATTTAAAAGCATTGCAGCTGGATTACTGTATACCTTGAATTTATCTAGCCCACATTCTGTTTCCTACATGGCCAACTCCTGGAAGCCTACAAGTAGTATAGGAGGGCAACAATCCTTTCCCACCATTGTTTTCCAGCTGCTAATATTTAGACCACATATTCTGTCTGATCCTAGAGGGAGCATAGAGCTTTCAGAACTAGCAGATAGTCTTCTCTTCAATTAATCTATCTAATCCCCCTTTCAAGCTGTCTAAATTGACATCTATCACCAAGTCCTGTAGCAATGAATTCTAGAGATTAGCAATGCTTTCTATGATCCCTATACAATCTATATCCCCGCATCTTTACACATCTGATTCTGAACATTGACCTTCTATTGCGGCTTCTCAGGAAAGCCTCAGTTTGAGATAAATGAGGGAAGAACAGAGAGAATTTGAATTATGGATATTTTTTGCAACAAATATAATGTGAGAAACCTCAGGCCATGTATGAAAAACTCACATTCCAATAAAGGGCATCAGTATTGTAGTTTGTCTTTACAGTAAACCATCAATGCCACCGCTTCTTAGAGCCCACAAAACCAGCTTGGGAAGCAGCCAGATAAAATCTTCCCTGTTACTGTCAAGAGCCATAAAGTTCACCTGAGAAGAGGACTCAGTTTCTTCCCCAGGTTTAGATAACATAGTGAGTCTCTTCATTCAAAGCTTCCAGATTACCTAGATTGACATAAGAAGGACAGAGACAGTACAGGACTTGGTAGAGAAAATAAACTTTACAATGTCACAGGCATAGATCCTTCTCATTTCCTTTCAGAAGAGAATCACAGAGAACATGCAAAGGGAATAATTTTTTTGAGTCATCAGAGATCTGATGGAACACTATTTCTTTACTTCACAGCATACCTACAGAGCATATATTCTTTATTCCAGATGCAGGAACTGGGAAATACTGGTCAAATCATTTAAAACAGCTAGGAGCATATTTTGGATTCAGTAATTAAAAAGATCAATCTGCTAACAGAAAATGTTCATCTGGAAGAGAGGAATGAAGAGGAAGCTTGCCTTTATTACATTAGTGGTATGTCTATATAGAGTTAGAGATTGATCCAGTCAATGCGAGCCAGGATTTAGAAATTCTGAGACCATTCCACTGCACCTCTCTGAGATACAGCTATAAATTAGCTCATTTCTCAAGGTTAAAGTTAGTTTGGTCACAGACAACCACACCCAATATCCTTCAACATTCTTTAGGAATTCCCATATTGTTGGAGTAGGCCAAAAATCAAGCAAAAAAATGAGAATCCAGGGAGGGAAGTAGGAGACCAAGTCAGTAACCTGAATTCAAGACTCAGCCTTCTGTTCCCAAATATGTCTCAAATGATTTTGGGTTGGCTGAGAGCTGATAGCAGACATTCGTGCAAGCAGTAATTTAACATTTACATGAAGGAAGAAATAAAAAATGAAACCTTAAACAAGACCCATTTATTTTTGGTGCAGCTGCAAGCATTTACAGGTTAAAAAAATGTCTGGACAGTTAAGTTATTACCATAATGTCTTATGTTATTTCCAAGGCCTTCAGAAAAAGTCCTCATCTGAAGTAACATTAAGTACCTCAAAATCAGCCATTTGGTAGAATTCAGGGGCAAAAGCTTCTCTTGAGTCTAAGGGAACTAAAGCATTGTAAGAAGTTTCAGAATTAAAAGACCTATATTCTGAAGGCAGTTTTAGTACCTCATAGAAGACCTCCCTCGACTTACTATTTACTGTAAGCCATATCACTGAAAAGTAAAGGTAAACATGACATGCTCCTATCCACCCCTACTCAAGGCACAATCCTTTCTGACAAATCATATTCTGATGCCTTTAGCACTCGAGGAAGCAGAAATCTAGTGGCGGGATTTCCACAAACTATTCTTTTTTTCTCACCAAGTACTGTGCCATCATCACATTTCCCATGTCTATTAGCAGGCCACTACTGATACCAAACAAAGGCCAAATAGTCCACCAATATTACTTTTGGCATCTGAACACATTACAGCTCTAAGATGAGAAACGTTTGGTGTTACTGTTGGCAAACAGACCATGGTGACCAGGCTGTACTGTACATTTACGGTGATACATTTGTATATGCAATTTGATCTGCATATAGGGGTAGTACAGTAGAACTCTAACAGTGCTTCGTATAAGACCCTTAGTCTAAAGCATCTTTTTCAAACCATGTTTTGAGGATTTCAGAAGTTTTTCAGAAGTTCAGCCAAGTTTCCAAGAAAGGCAGGTTATCTACCACAACAGATCATCAGATTCAATTTTGTTATGTAAGAGAGGAAAATGAACACTCTTTAATTCACATGGAGTGACAGTAAGCCATCCAAGTATACCTTCTGGAATATGCCCCAGAATCTTCTGCAACATGCAAAAGGGCATATGATAGAGAGACTTCCCAGTGGGCAAGTAAAGCAAAAATGATTCCTCCAAGGAGGACAACTTAAAAACTGCATTACAGAAACAGATTTTTGAGGCAGATCAGACTAGTTAGACAGAACTCATTTCCCATCCATCTGCCAAGAAGGTCAAGCCAACTTCCAGGGTATTTCCAAGCATTTTATCCTCCCAGCCTATTCTCTAAGCCATGATCAGAATAGTTTCAGAAACAGGAAGATTTTATTTTATTTAAGTCCATTTTCTAGCAAGCATAGAAGGCATATAAGATGCCCTCTAATTCTCTGATTCTAACTGCATATTTTACTTTATTGAGGGTGCATATTAAAAAAGATGGTAAAATCAGCATACATCTGCTTCTGCTGATATTAAGAGAATTTTAGGCCGTTGCTTTCTGTACAACAAAATGTTATTTAAATTTTTTCTTCCATGGCAAACCAAATGCACTAACAATTAGCACTTCGCTTCCCACACAAGGAAATCAGACAAAAGAAAAAGAAATGTTCATATTAGCATCAGTAATGGAAAATGTTCAGTCACCTAGGCTCAAACTTTACCAATTATTCAGAGTCAGGTACTGGAACAAATTAAAGGAATGCACATACGCAAGTGAGGAAAAGCTGTATTTGTGTACCATATAACATTTCTTGATCTCAAATTATATCTTCCATTCAAATATAAAAACCCAAAGGCACTTTTCTCCTGAAGCTCTCTTAAAAAAAACAACTATTACCATAAATATTCAGCAGAGAAGTCAGCTTTATCAGAAGTCTGATAAAAAAAGCTAGCCAGTTTCTAGCCTTCAATTACCACTCAATTGTTCCAATCCAGCCAAGGCAATTCATATGAAGAAGCAAACTGCCTACACAATCCCTGTTGCTTGTTGAACCACATGCCCAGTTCTTAACAATCTTGAGGTTTCTATGTTGCGCAGGGGACCTGAAGTGCAGTCCAGATCAAAACTCTTAGCAGCCCGATTCTTTTTCTTCAGTTCTTTTACTCAACAAGAGGGCCATGCATTTAAAGGCATGCTTCACTTCCACCCATGCACTGGCAATAACACCAAAGAAGAAAAATGTGCTATGATCCTTCCAAAATGTATGTATATGGTCTGATGCTAGAACAGTATTTGTCAAGTATTTTATATTTGAGGCAAATTTCCAGAATCTATGCACTTAACTCTTCCATTTTATATTTAAAAAGCTGCAGTTATGTAGTCTCCATCAATCCCTCCACAAGCCCTCCCGTTCATTCAATATGTCAGGGTTCAGGGATAAGACTGGGCACTGGGATTTCCCTGTACAAACAGTGCAGACCTCATCAGTGAATGTTAGTGCATTCTTATTTATTTAAGGCAAATACTGGCAGGAGAACTTACTAGGCGATGGGCCTTTCCTGGTTCACCACTGCCAAGAAGAGGTAGGTAAATCTGACTTCAGCTCTTCTCCCAGCACAGATTTGAGAATATTTGCTTTAAGAGAAAACCCATTAAGTTCCTTTATTCTAGAATAATACCATGTTAGACAGCTCTGTGAAGCTACGGTCCTCACCTAATCATGAAAAAACATGAATCAGAAAATGACAAGCAATTTCGTCAGTTTGACAGCAACATCTTCCAGTTAGTCAGCAGAGGTAGAGTTGACACTGTATTCCAATAATCAGAAATAAGGGAGGGCCTCACCTTCAGGAGTTCTCTTGGGAAATCTGTACCTTCATTCATTCCTTGAAGGTTGGCAATGAATTCTTGACAGGACATCTTTTTGCCAATGTTCTGAAATATATAGGACATAGTTATATGAATGCAAACCAATGGAAAAGAACATGACTGTAGTTTTTAGAGCCTTATGCTAAACATTCTAAACAATCTCCTTCCTCTTGAATTGAAAACCAAGCTGTGAGCAGCAACAAACCCAAGATTAGAGGCATTCTTTTTTAAATCTGCATGAATCAGCTACAGATCAGTACTTGAAGGTTAGTGGTGAAAGACCTGAAAGACCAGGTTAGGGGCAGATCGTCACGGAGAAATTCTATCTGTGTGGTTCCTAAAAGTCAACACCAACTTGATGGCACATAATAGAGGGGGGGGGGGAACAGTGAGTAAACAAGGATAATGGCAATCACACAGACTTTTCAGTCAAGATTCCCAAAGTGCTTTATGAAATTGGTTTGCTTTCCAAAAATGTTAAGGTGTTGCCACAGACAACAGTGGGAATCATTTGCCAAAGCAACAGCCTGAAATTGACAAACTGCAAAGAAAGTTCTCTGCTTAAAAACATTCCTCCTGCCAAACCCCGAATTTATCTTGTTTATAAGAAAAAAATACCTCAAAAGTATCATTTATATGAGATTTTTCCCATTCCTTTCTTAAAGACAGTGGAGATGAATTTTAGTTGCAGTTAAGGGATACAGAGTAGATAATGAATCACCCCTATGTGAGTGTGAATACTCATTCTTGCCTCTGTGCAAATAAATCTAGCAATTTTCCTCTTTCAGCAAGCCGATTCCAAATTCTGATTAAAGTAGAAACCCAGGGACTTGTCTAGATATACACTCCCATAATTCAAACCCTGATCTCATATTATTAATGTGGAAGCCTACTTCAGATTCTTAAAAAACAAAAAAAGTGAAACTGTTTACAGGTAATCCTTGGCTTACATTGATATGTTTGACGACTGTTCAAAGTTAGGGTGATGCTGAAAAAAATGGACATACGATTGGTCGCCAAAGTTCCAGCCCTCGGAGCACCTCCATACCAGTCTCATAGGAAATAAGTGCAGCATTTTTTATACTGATATACTTTCCTCCATCTCAAGAATGGGAGGAAGGATATTAACACTGCCGTGTGGATGAGCCCTGGGGTAGGCATTTATGCAGAGAAAGCAACAGACTTTAAGAGAATATTATGCATATCCGGTCTTCCAGGGCTTATTAATTAGTCTAACACTGCCCAAAACAGCAACTTGGTAAAATTCCTACTCATAAATCAACCTATGCACTGAGCTTCTTTTTCCTAGTAAAGAAAGAAGACTGACTACTCATCAACCTCTGCTGTGATGATAGCACTGATCCAGAACTAATAGAGTGTTAACCATGCAGTGTTCTGCAGGGGGAACACTGCAGTTGGGGGAAAAAAGTCCATTTCATCTTAGTAAATTTCAAGCCCTTTCCAAGTGGGACACCACTGAAAGGGAGAAGAGATTTTTTTTTTTAAAGACCACATAAGAACCTGTAGTCTCAAGAGAGTGATTATAAAACTGTAGTCCATAGAGGACCTGTAGCTGGTACATCTCAGCTTCCCCCCATGTAGCACCAGTCAATTGGTTTGCAAAAATGGGGCAGAGATGGAAAACTGGTTCACCAAAACATACAAGGCATAATACAAGTAGCTACAGGAATACAGAAATTCAGAAAAATGACTACAATGAACAGCTCTTGAGTGCAGTTATCAACTGTGAGTCCGTACATATTGTGCTAAGTAAAATTGAGATCTTGCACAAGTAACCTCAAAGAAAAGTGTGCACAGGAAATATAACAATCAACATCTAAAACTGCTTGTAGACCCCGGTATTCAGAAATTACTACTGAAGCACAGGTGTGATGAGCAAGTTGCACTGAGAGTACCTGTTATAATGACATTGGGTACATGAAATAATTCAGATGGCAAATCAATATGTAATCTTCAATTAAATTATTTGGTACAAAATTCAGTTTTAAAAGGCCTTTAGAACTGGAAAGAAGACATACACAAATGGAACTATAAATGTGACTTTATTCACCAAAAAATGTGAACTTCCATTTTGCTAAATACAAAAATGTATGGAGGGGATGTTTCTTTACTTGGGTGGTCTCTGAGTTTTCTGAATGATTCAATGTCCTGATTTTAGTGGTTCACAACTGCAAGAAGTCTGAGAAACACTGTTTTAAGAAAACAGACAACAGATGCTTTTGAAACTGATCTTTAAAAACTGTTAGAAGCTGGTGAGGGATAGGCATCTGAGAGATACCAGGAAAAGTCATAATAGGACTTAGGAACATCTGTGTAGCTATGCAAATTCCATTTCTATAAATTCCTCACAACTTTTCCAAAGTATAGCTAAATGCACTATACAACTAGTTTAACAGAACGTTCGGCAAGCTAGGGAAAAACATGGCCATTTGTTTCTTGGACGCAAATAGCTCTACAACATTGCCGCCAAATCTCTGAGAAATTGCCATCTATATATAGTCTCTCTTGATGTCTGTGACAGTCCTGCATTTGGATTCTGAAGAAAGAATGCCTGACATTACGGAGGCATACTTATTTATTAAACAAATTTATATAGCTGCCCATCTAACAAAAGGAGCTCTAGGCAGTATACAAAATACAAACACAATACCATAGAACAACCATTTAAAACAGTAAACTATGATGAGGCCCTGATAAAAACTCATATCCCTCCACCAACCACCCCGTGTCAGCTCTGTCAACATGGCTTCAGCGCTTGGGAGAAAAGCCAGTTCTTTACCACTTTCCTGAAGGCCAACAGGGTTGGGTCCATCCGTATCTCTGGGGAGAGGGTCTTCCATAAGGAAGGCACCATGACAGAGAGGGCATGCTTTTGATGCCCCACCAGGTAACACTGCTTCACCCAGGCCTGGAGCATGCCCACCTGGTCAGATTTAGTAGGACAAGTAGAAAACAATGGGGATAGGTAGTCCCACAAGTAACCTGGCCCCATGTAATATAGGGCTTTAGCACCACTGCTGAGTCAGCTGCACTGCACCCAGAAGCCCACTGAGAGCCAGTGATATTACATGGGCATACCTGTACTGCTGCATTCTGGACCAGTTGCAGCTTATAAATGCTTGTCAAGGGCAGCCCCACGTAGAGTACATTGCAATAGCCCAACTAGGAGGTGACTAAGGCATAAGTAACCATGAGCAGTGCCTCCTGATCTAGGAAAGGGCACAACTGGTACAAACAATGCATTTGTGCAAAGGCCCTCCTGGCCATGGCTGCCACCTGCTCTTTGAGCAGGAGCCAAGAGTCCAAGAGAATCCTCAGATTGTGCACCAACTCTGATTGGGTGAGTGTCCTTCCAGCCAGAGTTAAAGATGTCAAATCACCCGATATAGAGGATGTTAAAACCCACAGCCAATTGGTCTTGTCAGGGTTGAGCTGAAGTTTATTCTTCCCCATCCAGATCCATGCAGCCTCCAGGTACTGGGAAAGCACTGTGACAGCATCACTTGAGCAGCCAGGGGCAGAGATGTGCAGCTGAGTATTATCACCACATGGATGGTACTTAACCCCATGCTGACAGATGGCCTCACCCAGTGGTCTCGCATATAGAGTTGAGCTCTGTGGCACCTTACCTCTCCTGTCCCACCAAAACAACTGGAACCAGCCTTAGAGGTAGGAGGAGAACCACTGAAGAATGGTGTCTCCCACTCCCAAGGCCCTCACCTGATCAGCTGTATCAAGGTTACCCCTGATACACAAAAGCCACTGAGAAATCAAGTAGGGCCAGGATGAATACACCAACCCCATCCCAGGCCTGCCAGAGGTCATCCACAAGTGTGAACAGGAGCTGGCCGGCACAAACCAAATCAAGGAAATCAGGAAATCAAGGGGAACCAACGCCAAACCTTTTGCTGTGCAGTTTTCTGGAGTTTCTGCAATCCATTCTGCAGAGGGAAATTTATGTTTCCCTGCCTTCACCAAATGGTTTTGTTCCATCTTTGCTAACCGCACAGTTTATCTGCACTTTTTACAGTCTATTTGGCTATAATCTGATTCTATCACGTTTGGCCCTCACTCCCATGCGGTGCATCCTTAACTAAAAATGCTTGCCTTTTTTACAGTCCCCACAGCTACTTTCTGCCTCTGCTTAGGTGACTTCAATTCTTGGAGGCTGTTAGAAGCCAAGCCTGCAATGGGGGCCACCAAGCACAGAAACACCAGAAATGCATCAGAAGACCCCCTGTAGTCTTGAGGAGGAGTGGTAAGTTTGCAGGATACTCACATGGCCATGGAGGTCAGTGTTCAGCAGCATCACTGCACATGTGAGGCAATGGACTCCATCTGTAGGATTAAAAACACCCAAAGCATGACATATAGAAAGCCACACAGGAAAAAAGAAAATCACACTTCCCACTATTCACGTCTGCTTATAAAAGAATGATGCCAATTAAGCTGGAACCCCCTGCAGCCTAATTAACACTCTCCAAAGCAGTTTCCCTATAAAGAAATACATGGCATTAATCAAGAAACAGATATCTCATGACATTAAATCACTGACAGAGAAAGGAGGCCAGCCTGATTTTGCTTGTCAGTGGAGAAAAACCATAAGCCATGTTTTGAAGAACCACCTCATGAGTATCTATACCTTACAGAAGCTCAGCTGCAGAACTGCAGATCTTGCAAAACATTTTATTTTACTTTTTGCAGTTGGATCTGCAATCCAGTTAAACCAGCAGATTTAGCCAGGCTCGGTCTAATTGAAGCCACTTCCCGTGAGACCAATCAGACTAAAGCTAAAGCTGAATTTAGCTTTGAAATGTCATTCTTTCCTATGTTTGGAACAAGAAGTCTCCAAAGCTTTCATTAAGATGACAAAAGCAGCATCTCCTCATTGTGGCACAATGTCATGATGCATGCAGAAAATGTGCAGAGTTTGCATTGCATCGTATGCTGCTGCTTTTGTCATATAAGCCCCTTTGACTTGTCCTCCATGGACACTTGTCTGAAACTCTTGTCCCAGACATCTTCACTGTGCCCCTTCGCTGCTTCTACAAAGTGTGTTATGTCCATGAAGCTACTGGCTTGAGTGGGCTTTATATACAGTATGTGCACTTGATTACAATCTTTTACTGCCTCTGCTTTTCCTCTTATCTCAATAATCCTCTAGTCAATTTCAAATTATGAAATGTTCACAGCAACCCTGGTGTGTGTCTGTATGTGTGTGCGCACACATGTTTGTTTAAATAAAGCAGAAGAAATGAGATCTGCTTTCCTTAATTGATTCAGCACAGCCTCCAAAGTATTTAAGCAGATTTATATATTTAAAGCCTATACAAGCAAGAAAAGCTTACAAGCAGGTCATAATTCAGGTAGTCCTCGCTTAACAACCACAATAGGGACTGAAAATTGGTCATTAAGCATGGCAGTTGTTAAGCAAGTCACCACATGACCGGACCCAATTTTATGATGGTCATTAAGTGAATCCCATGGTCGTTAAGTGAATCCAGCTTCCCCAATGGATGTTTTTTGCCAGAATTTGCTTAACAACCACATGATTTGCTTAACAACCATTGTAAATCATAATCATGTGACTGCAGGGGTGGTGAGACTGTTCGTGACGGTCGTAAGTGGGAGTACAGGTCGTAAAGCACTTTTTCCAAAGCCACTGTAACTTTGAACTGTAGTTAAATGAATGGTCATTAAACAAGGACTACCTGTAGTGATTCCCACCCAGGCTGCTTGCTTCCTGAATCAGGCAATAATGATAGACAGCCTCAGTGAAAGATGTTCATTATGCAAATGTCTGAAAAGGATTCTAGTGATTTAGCAACATAGTGAATATGCAGTTTCAAGAATAAATGATGGCCATAAATATTTTATGATTGACTAGACTACTATTCATTCTGCTAGTTTTGGCTTTATAAACATTCTGGGTTGGGGTTGAGTCATTTTGGGTTTTTGGGGTACAGTAGTGTGATTATAATACTAAAATCTCATTAGCCACTTTGAAGCCTACCTGAGTAAAGGTGACAACAGGACAAAAATATATTAAAACTATGAGTGGATGATTACCTTGTGTGGAAATAGCACTGGGGTTGCATTGGTGATATCTGCTGGAGAAATGAACTAAAACTCTCTCTCTTTCCTGAGTTTCTCCAATGAGGGAAAAGGCTTTAAAAAATGTCCTAAAGAGGAATTTAAAAGGAAAAAAAAAAGCAGTCAAACATTCCTGTGCTGAGATTACAAATTAAGGATAGCTTTTTCAGAACTGAGGGTTGTTTGAACGAAGCATGTATCTTCTCTTGTGTGTTACAAATTTCTGCACTGTAACATACACAAGGACGGTTATATGCTAATCACTGATGCCATCAACACAAGTACAGTAGCCTTTAGTATCAAAGGCCCTACGGAACAGCTCAGTTTTTACTGTTTTGTAAAAACATGTTGAAGTCTGTGTTGCTCTAGCCTCAGGGGCAGGTGGGAGAAGGTCATACAATACTGCAATTTTTTATAAGCGTGTTGTAAATAAAAAGACTGCTATTACTACTATTACTTTTAAGCCACTAATCTCACTTGAAAAAAAAGCTGTGGTGTACGTATATCTTAAAAATGTACTGCCTATCTGTAAACTACTTGCTTGTTTATAGATGGGTTGCAATATTTGGAATAAAGAAATACAAACCAGAGTAAGGCAGGAATATTAAACACATTAACAGAATATGAATGTCTAGAAATATGGTGAATATAGAGTAAACCTTTGTTATAACTCCTGGGACTAAGAAACTGGGGAAGAACAAGGGGGAAAGGGAGGCGTAGGATTAGCTGTTTTCTTAAGCATTATTGTATGATCATTTCTGTGCTGAGGTATGATTCCTCAGACACTGGGCTTGCTTTAAAAGTGTCTTCCAGCAGAGAGCGTGTATCCAGCGAAAACATGCCTTCAAGTCTATCAACCTACAGCAGTTGTATTTAAAAAAAATAAATAATGATGCAGCTGTCATTTTCAGCCCTCACTTCTAACTTCCTTATATGTCTTTCACGGCCCTGCTGTTATTTCTTGTTCTTCCTTCTGGCCTCTAACTCACACAACTGCACAATCAACATTTTTACAAAAGCATTTAAAAAACAAACAAGCTTCTTCTGATGAAGCTGTTCTGTGGGTTTCCAGACCTGTCCAGAAAACCCATCAAATACAAACAAATCACACAGAAGGTCCACCCTAACTTGTGGCTATTTTAAAGCAGGCCCATGTGGAAGCAGGACCACATCCGTCCAAATCCTACTCTAGTTCAACTCTGACTGTTGCTCTCCAAGGCCCACCTCATATACATTTCTCTCTGGATGTAGCAGGAGGAAATGGAGCTTAGTGATAAAACAGATGCATTGTATGTCAAAGGCCTCTGCCTCAACCCCTGGAATATCCAGTTGGAATGATCCAATAGCAAGGGATGAAAAATATTTCTGCCTGGACAGCTGCAGCCAGTTAGAATAAATAATACTGGGAAAATGGGGGGAGGAGGAGGAGGGGAAGCTCTTTATGTTCTAGAATTCACTTTGAATCAAAGCAATACTAAGAAATCATAGCCCACTTGAGAGCAGGCTTTTAATGGGCTGCAGGCACTGAATTATCCATAGGTTCTTTCCTAGAAGAGGTAATGGGAACAATTTCATCTGTTGCCTCCCAAAATACGGTTCAGTACATGAAACTGTCAGATGGACCATTATTGCTCAATCCAGGCAATAAAACATAAAGTACTAAATACAAACCTGCATTAGTTCAGTATGTTGAGTTTTCCCCAGAAATGACTCCAGTCATTTCTCACCTTATCTATGAATTTTGAATGTTGTGATTTTATATAGTTTTATATAGTTTTTATTGTTTTAAACGGATACAATGTTTTGCTGTTTTTATATTGTTTTCAACTGTTTGTGAGCCGCCCAGAGTCGTGCATTGAGCTAGGCAGCTATATAAATTTGATTGATTGATTGATTGATTGATAGATAGATAGATAGATAGATAGATAGATAGATAGATAGATAGATAGAATGACTTTATGAGAGAGAATTCTGTTCCCAGGCCTTTAAGAGACTTAAAATGGACCTAATTATATCTTGGTAGATGTACGCAAATGAAGTGGATACTGGCACAAGGTTAGCACTGGCAAGGACTGCACTGCTACCCCATGTTATAGCATCATTAATTATTATATTATATTATATTATATTATATTGATTATATTGATTAAGTATATGCACATTAAATAAAGTATTCTCATTGGGTGAGAAATGATCCATGAAGATACATGGGGAAGATGGCTTCATACCTGAGGGAATGATCCAAAGACATGCCCGTGAAATCAAAGAACTTGAGGTATTCTTCAGCTACAAGCTTGCTAAACTCGTTGCTTTAACAGAAAAAGAAAAAGCATAAGTCAGGTTATTAGGAAATCAATTCAGATATATTCTTACCATTCTAGTTAATCTTAAAGGCAGAAAATTGGAACGCACTTTTTCCCCAAATGCTTTGCCACATCAGACCGTTTGAATCTATCCAGATGATAGAGGCGCTTTGCCAGCCTCTGTGCTGCTTCCACATTGCTACTGGTCGTGCCATTGATGAAGTCATGGCTCAGGTTTTCATGTCCCTCTTTTTCCAGAATATCATGGCTCCCCATGTCCCCCGTGGCATCTAATGGTGTAGTACATTCCAGCCTTGCATTGCTATGAAACAGGAGAGAATATTAAGGAAACAGGGAACAGGAGGAGAAAACAAAATTAATGTTTTTTTTTAAGTGCAAGTCCTTTTTAACAGCAAAGGAAATAAAGGATGATTAAAAAGTTTTCATGATATACTATACACAAATCAAAATGAACATAGTAAATTTCTCCTGAAACTCTGTAAAAGTGAATGGAATTTTCTACTTTTCCTTTTATTTTAAGGAAGTTTTCTGAGACAAACTTCTTAAACTTCTGCTTTTTTAAAATTTCAGATATCATCTCTAAGTTCAGAAACCTTAAACCTTAATCTTATTAAGAGATCTTAACAGAATTGCAGTCCATGTTTAAGTGCAGCATATGTTCAAAAAGTCTGAAACCTCATTGCAGGTCTTGAAAGCTATAAGAAAGGGCAATACAAGGAACAGCTGCGAAGAGCTATTTATAAAAATTTTGAACATACACACATATACAGTACCATTCAGAAAGTATTCAGACTCCCTTCACTTTTTTCAATTTTGTTATGTTACACCCTGATACTACAATTGTTCAAATTCATTTTTTTTCTCATTAATCTACACTCAGTACCCCAT